GCAGGGCCATGGCAGAGAGGTAGAATTGAAAGACATGGAGCAATTGTCAAAGAGATGTTGTCCAGAATAGATCAAGCACAACCGATAAACAATGAAGGAGAATTTGAAAGAGCATTGTTTCAAGTCTTTCGAGCCAAGAATAGCCTCTCTACAACATGTGGCTACAGTCCTGAGCAAGCAGTCCTAGGAAAGGCAACAAGACTCCCCGCATCGCTGACCAGTGATGAAAGCACTCCGGCACACATGCATGCAGCCTTCAATGAAGGACCTGAGGCAGAAAAGTTCCGTGCGTCGCTGGAACTCAGAGTATTGGCCCGAAAAGCCTTCATTGACAGTGACAACAGTCAAGCCATCCGCCGAGCTACCCTGAGGAAGTCCAGAGGGGAAATCAATGAATGGAAATGCGGACAACCCTGTATGTTCTGGGATAAGCGCAAATCAGCCAACATGATAGAGAAAGGAAAATGGTGTAGACCAGCTCAAGTTGTTTTGGTTGAATCAAAGACTATAGTTTGGATAACTCACATAAATAGGTTGTTGAGATGTGCAAGGGATAACCTCCGTCCGGTCAGCCTTAGAGAGTTTGAGCGACATGCGTCTTTCAGCCAACAAATCGATGCACAGCAGGCCCAAAAGTTGGCTGAGAATTTGCAAAGGAGACTCCATGAAAGAAGTGGAATGTTCCAATTCTCAGATCTAAGTGATGTCCCAGTTGAAGCACCCATGGAAGAGGACCACCCACTAGGAAATCAACCTGAAGAAGAACCTTCTAGAAGAGCCTCACATGAACCTGTGCCCGAAGCTCGAGAATTGCGTCCCGAAGAAGTGGCCATCCCAGAAAGTGTAGACCATGAATGGAGCGAGCCAAGTGATGTGTTACCAAGTAGCTTTGCACCTGAGCCTAACGGGGAGAATAATGTTACGGGGAGTAACTTTGGGGAGAACCTAAGTGGGAATGAGAGCATTGAAGACAGTAACATAGTCTATAATGCCTTATTTTCGGAGTCCAATGTTCCCGGACCTGCCATCCCTAGCGACGAAGACACGCTATGGGATGATGCTCAAGAGGATCCTCGACCATACTGTGAGTATGAGTTTGATGTCCCCAAGCAGCACGTCCAAAGGTTCATAAAAGATCCCAAAATGAACACCTCCTTTTTGGCCACTGCAGCCAGGCGTGCACGTTCCGAAGTCCGATATGCCACATTGAATGCATCCGAGAGAGATCTCTTTGACAAAGCCAAATCTAAGGAACTCAACTGTTGGTTGGAAACCAGTGCTGTCAGGAAAATCATGAGATCCAAAATTTCCCCCAACCGCATCATGACTAGTCGATGGATTTTAACATGGAAACCTGACCCGTCCATGCCCAAGGGTCAGAAGGCCAAAGCCAGACTTGTTGTACGGGGATATCAAGACCCCGAACTTGATCAGGTAAGTACAGAATCCCCGACTTTGTCCAGAGATGCTCGAATGCTGTGTTTGCAGGTGATCTCATCGATGGGTTGGGTAGTCCAAAACTTCGATATAACCACGGCCTTTCTCCGTGGGAAATCAGATGGAAGGCAATTGGCCATGGAACCCGTTCCAGAACTTCAGAGACTTCTCAAAATGACAAGTGACGAGGTCCTGTTGCTAGAGGGTAACGCATATGGCAGAGTTGATGCACCGCTGCTCTTTTACAAGGAGTTTAGACGTCAACTAGAGAAAGTAGGATTTGAAGCTCATCCACTTGACAATTGCCTGTTCTTGTTGCGAAACAAAACCAATCCCGAAGTTCTGGATGGAATCTTAGGAACTCATGTTGACGATGGCATAGGAGGAGGGAATCACCACTATGAGAATGCCTTGAAAGAGTTGCAAAAAGTACTTCCATTTGGACAGAGAGAGTTCAGAAAATTTCGGTTCACGGGTCTTGAGATTGAACAGCTGCCTGATAACTCCATCAAAATCAGTCAGGAACCATATATCAATAAGATTGAACAAATACAAGTACCCAAAAATAGGAGAGCCAACAAAAATGAAATGGCAAACGCCCAAGAAGTTCAAGACTTGAGGGGGTTGTGTGGGAGCCTTCAGTATGCGGCTGTACATAGCAGACCCGACATAGCAGCAAAGGTAGCTTTTATCCAGAAGAACATTTGCAAGGCGACAGTGTCAACTCTCCTGGACGCCAACCGAGTGCTGATCGAAGCCCAGCAGACGGCTGATACGGCCATAATGGTGAGACCTCTGCCTTTGGAGCGAATCACCTTTGCAAGTTTCGGCGATGCAAGTTTTGCCAGTGCTTCTCAGTTAAAGGCCCAACAGGGATTGTTTATCGTTGCCTGCACGCCCGAACTTGCTGCCAACAAAACATCCGAAATCAGTCCTATGTCCTGGAATAGCAAACAGATAGGCAGAGTGGTGAGATCAACGCTTAGTGCCGAGGCATATGCAATGAGCTCCTCTCTTGACAAATTAACCTGGCTTAGGTGTCTATGGGGTTATATCCTAAGTCCAACCTTCAAGTGGCAATATCCCGAACGTTCCCTTCAAGCATGTCCCAAAGCTCTACTTATTACAGATTGCAAAAGTTTATATGACTTAGTCACTAAACTGGCAGTACCTAACTGTGAAGAGTGGAGAACAACTGTGGAGGTGATGCTTATCAAGCAGCAGGCAGAAGGGCATTCGCAGTGCCGTTGGATTTCTACAGCAATTATGCTGGCCGACTGTCTGACGAAGCCGATGGAATCCTCTTTTTTAAGGTCAGTGCTACGGCTGGGAAGATTCAGAATCTTTGATGAGAGCCAAACGTTACAAAACAACTCACACCGCAAGATCGCGGCAAAGTGGGTATCCTTACCAACCGCGGCACTGGAAGATGAGGATCCGAAAGTACATCCAAAAGAAAAATAGACCAGTGTGACTTGAGTAACCTTGGATGTACGAACCATATGCCACCTGCAGGCTGCATGGGAAACCAGAGACTTCGCCATCGCCACTGCGCATGGCTCAAGGCACGCGAGGTGCAAAAGCGAGGACGCGGCTGCTGTGGGCAGCACAGGTATCGAGAAGTGTAACAAGTTCATAAGGGCCCAGGGGGTCACGGTGAAGAGCCCTTTTAAGGGGAGATTTTCCTTTTGGGGTAGGAACCCCAAATCCAAGAAACTGGTTGGTACCGGTTTCCCTACCTTTGTGGACTCTTACCCGGGGAGCCACATATATATGTATATATGTATATATGTATATATGTATATATGTATATATGTATATGTCTATGTATATATGATACATGTATATGTATATGTATATTTGATACATGTATCTGTATATGTATATATGTATATGTATATATGTTTATATGTATATGTAAATATGTATATGTATATATGTATATGTATGTATGTTTATATGTATATATGTATATATGATATATGTATATGTATATATGTATATTTGTATATATGTATATATGTATATATGTATATATGTATATGTCTATGTATATATGATATATGATATATGTATATGTATATGTATATATGATATATGATATATGATATATGTATATGTATATGTGTATATGTAAATGTATGTATATGTATGTATATATATATATATATGTATATATATATATGTATATGTATATATATGGTCACACACCGAACTGTTTTTACTGTAAATACCACTGAAATATGTATTTTGGTGGGGGGTGGGTGAGCATGTGTATATATATATATA